TGGGTGATGGAGAAGCCTATGGGGCCTCCCGCCAGCCTGTTATTTAGATCTCACTGCCCTGACTGGTGGGCTGCTGGCCGGGGTGCCCATACCCGGCCCAGGACAGAGGTTTGGGCAGGAGGGGCCGGGGAAATGCTGCGCGTTCCAGGCACGGGAAGCCCGATGGGCATGTGCAATGCGAGAAGGGCCCCCCTCACCGTGCCTGGGGCACAATCCAGGTGTGACCTCAGTGTGACTGTGTGGAGCTGAGGAAGTTGACAAGGGAGGGTTTGGCAGCCTGCCCCCCCAATACTTATGTGAGCGGGAGATTGAGCTACATAGACAAATGGGGTGGGGGGTGAAGAAGGGATGGGGTGGGGGAAAGGCAGACAGGATTCAGGTTGTAAGTTCCAGGCTGGCGGAGCTGCCTTCTCCTGCTGCCCAGTCCATGACAGCTCGGCACCCTGCGTGCCTCTGGGCTACCCCGTGGGGGACGGCAGGGGAGGCAGAGCAGCAGTCATCGGAGGAGAAGGTAGCAGGCAGGTTCACCTTGACCCTGGCCAGTCCAGCCTGCACAGGTCCAGAAGGTCCCCAGCCTTCTCCATCACCCACTTTTGTGCCTCTGAAAAGAGGGGCCCATCTGGAATCTGAGAGAGAAGCACCCCCTCTCCCCCCGCCACGGGGAAAGCTAATGGAGGCGGAGAGGGAGGCGGAATGCTCACAGCACCGAGGCACAGGCGGCCCCTGGTCCCTGGCTGAGCCGGCGGGCACCGTTTGTAAACATAAGACTTGGTGATGTCTGGGGATGGAGGAGGAGGGGGATGCCCGGACCCTGAGGTTTGGGGAGAGACACTCGGTGAGGCCCCGGAGCCTCGGGGAATGTCAGTCAGCCGTGGGAAAGAGGGCTGCAGGCTCACCGCGGGCCCAGGGGGGAGTGGGCGAGGCACGGACTCTACCTGCCTCGGTGCGTCCATGTGAATTCAGTGCTACCTTTGGGACTGGCCAGAGCCCAGAGGAAGCCACTGCTGGCTGGTCCGCGGACAGACGGAGCAGGTGTGAGTCCTGGGGAGGGAGCACAGCCCCTGCTATATGGAGAGGGCGCCCCCATTTCTCCCGAGGGAAGTCAAGCGGCTGCCTTCTCCTGAGACCTGCTGAGCCTCTTCACCGTGGGCTCCAGGCCTGGAGGAGCTGAGAGCTGGAGGCAGTGGGGAGGCTCCTGTGGCCCCCCCCTCCCACCATCCAGGGCCCCGCCAGGACGGGGGAGCAGGAAGGGAGCTGGTGTGTTCAATTCCCAGTCAGGCCACATGCCCGTGCTGCAGGCTCCAGACCGTGGGGCCCCATTTCAGCCCAGATCTGTCCCTGGAATCACCCCATCAGGAGAGGGGAATGATGCCCGAGTCAGCGTGGCCCCGCAGCTCTGAGATGGGTTCCTGGGTGCCAAGGAGGCCGTGGTTATGCCAACAGATCCACGAAGACGGCGTTGGCTGTGGTCTGGCCGAAGATGAAGGCTCCCAGGGTGACTAAGAGGACTCCGTAACTGACCAGCGCCCACCAGCTGTAGGCAGAGGGGGAGGCCGGCCTGTCAATCAGCCCACCCGTGACTCTGCAGACTTTGATATACACACACACACACATTCATCACCATAATCACCTACACCAGCGGTCGCCAACCTTTCGGACCCCACGGACCACCGATTGGCGACCACTGACCTAAACCACTTCTCCTGTGGGGAGAGCCCTTCCTACTTCGCAGGGACTTTTCATACAAAGGTGTGCGCTGCCAGGGGTATGATCCCTAATTCACAGGGAAGGAGACCAAGACCTAATGGGATGGACTGGTCATAGGAGGTCAAGGGCAGGACCAGGGTGAGAATGCGTGTCTCCTGACGGAGAGATGTTTTGGGGAAAAGCAGGTCATGGTGTGAGCCATTTCATTAAAACAAAATAAACAAAACAGCTCGGCCGGCGTGGCTCCGTTGCTGGGCGTTGACCTATGAACCCTGAGGTTGCAGTTCAATTCCTAGTCATGGCACATGCCCGGGTTGTAGGCTCCATCCCCAGTAGGGGGCCTGCATGAGGCAGTCGATCCATGATGTTCTTTCATCAATGTCTCTTATCTCCCTCTCCCTATCCCTTCCTCTCTCTCTAAAAACCAATAAAAATAAATCCATGATGTTCCTCTCTCATCAATGTCTCTTATCTCCCTATCCCTCTCCCTTCCCCTCTCTCTAAAAACCAATAAAAATATATTTAAAAAACAAACAAACGAAAAACACATAACTAGACCCCGAACCCCACGTGTCTGTGTACACATATTCACAGCTGTGTGCACACAGACAGGCACACGTGCAGAGTCCGGGAGGGCGCAGACCCTGCTGGGACATGGAGCTGGGGTGGGGGAGGGTGGCATCTGGTCTGTGTGTGTAGGGGGAGGGATTCCACTCTTCTCTCTGAAGTCCTTCAGGAGTGCTTGCCCTGTCCTAACTAGCACATTACCCATTTTTTAAAAGGAATTTTAAAACACTCCCGTTTTTCAAAGTGGGCAGGTCTCCTGACCCTTGTGACTTTAAGGCCCCTCGAAGGCTCCCTCCCGTGTGGTGCCTCCCCTGAGGACAAGGCCGGAGCTGCTTTACCTGGCCGGCTTGACCTCCTCCATCTCAGACAGTTTGGCTTGAATGAGGCACAGCCCTGGAAGAGAAGAGGTGGCCCCGGAGAGCTTGGCTGGGCCCCTTCCCCGGGCCCAGCTCCCCCCTTACCACGAGGCAGCGGTGGATGGAGAAAGGCCTGTTGGCTTTTCCAGATACTCCACCTCTGCCCCCACACCCAGCCCGAGGCCTGGCAGGGGCTCTCCCAGGAGACGCCAGCACCCACAGGCCCACTGTGAGCTGCGTGCAGCACTCGGGGCTAACGGGGCAGCACGCCCGGGCCCTTCCCGGTGATTGCTGAGCGGACGTGGCCCCCAGACTCCGCGCCAAGTGGCAGGGGCTGTCAGGGTGGAATTAACTGGGTACCAGTGGCACTCATGGCTGGGCAGGTGGGACAGCTTCCCAGGGACCTGGTGGCAGACCCGTCTGACACTCAGGACTCCCGGCTTCTGGGTCAGGGTGCAGCCACAGACCCCACTGCCCTCTGGGGACTGACCAGCCACAGCCACGATCGCCAGGGAGCCACAGAGACCTGAACGCAGAACTGAGGGTACAGGTTGAGGACCTAGACAGGCTTGGCGTTGGAAAAGGTTGTGACCCATTAGCTGAGTTCACGTCATGAACCTCCCATCTCCTCGCCAGGAAGTGGAGAGAAGAGCATCTTCCTATCAGACGGTGCTTGGGCCCGGGTCAGCCCAGAGCCTGTGGCGGGTGACCACACAGGCTGCTGGCGCCTCTCCCCCACAGGTGAGCAAGGGAGGCGCTCTGGCCGGGAGGGGGGCAGTGCTGTGGGGGCGCCAGGGGTCCGCACCTGGGAAGACGAAGATGAAGCAGGCGGCCAGGCCTCCAATGACCGAGATGACCTTGCCGATGTCGGGGATGAAGAGCGCCAGCAGCAGGGTGAGCAGGAACCAGACCACCGTCTGCAGCACTCGCCGCCGCTGCTCCCGCCCCACGTCCTCCTCCACGGGCATCTCCTGGTAGCGCAGCCATAGGCCTTCGACCACCGCCCTGCACACAGGGAGGGGCTCAGAGGCTCCCCTGCTCACAGTCCCCCCCACCAGCTCCCGGAGCCAGACCCCCGACTGGGTGGATGGGGTTGAACCTGTTCCTCTCTGTAAAGGGGCCCAGAAGCGATCTCGGGGCTGCCTGGGGAGTGGATGGGGGTGAACGTGCAGGGCTTAGCGCCCTGCCTGGCCCAGGACGTGGTCACCGGGGGAACCGATTCTATTCTCCTGAAAGGGAAGGGCCTGGGACACCCAGAAGGCTGGTGGTCAGGAAAGGATCTGGACTGGAGGTTCTTAGAGGACTCACAGGATGTTCTGGGGACCATGGGACAAGGGGGGGTGGGGTGGGCAAGACCCGGCTGCGGGTAGGCACTGACTTTTCCCCATGGGCTTCAGTTTCTCCTACAAGCAGGGTCCATACAAGGTCAAAGGACCACGGGATAAAGGGTTATCAGGGGCCCCGAGGACGCACCCCCGTGGGCGGGGGCTCACCGGCCACAGAAGTGCAGGATGGAGTATGAGGTGAGCACGCTCAGGATGATGAAGGCGCGCGCCACGGCCACGGCCACGTCGTTGGAGGGGTAGGACAGGAGCACGTCGGGGTCCACAGACGCTCCAAAGGTCAGGAAGCCACAGATGCCTGAGGGCAGGGATCAAAGGGCTGGGAAGGCGCCACCCTGGCAGGGGAAGGCGGAGGGACTGCCCACCACTGGGTGGGACCTCAGACAGGGAGGGCGTTGTTGCAGCTCTGCAGGCTGAGGGTGGTGGGCTGGGGTCAGACTCTCCTCCCCGGCCTTCTCACGACTGCCCCCACTGCCACCTCTCTGACCTCACGCTGCCCGCACGTTCCTCTCACAGCCAGTTCTTCATCCGACCACTCAGGCCTCGGCTCCATCTCCCCTCTCTAGACACGCCTCCCCACCCAGCCTGCCCACAATCGCCCACCCCCAGCACTCTCACATTAGCCTATTTCCATCAGAGCCCACGGTCTCTCTGAATTCTTTCTTTCCTTTCCTTTTCTTTTTTTTTTTTTTTAAATATATTTTGTTGATTTTTTACAGAGAGGAAGGGAGAGGGATAGAGTTAGAAGCATCGATGAGAGAGAAACATCGATCAGCTGGATCAGCTGCCGCCTGCACACGCCCCACCGGGGATGTGCCCGCAACCAAGGTACCTGCCCTTGGCTGGAATGGAACCTGGGACCCTTGCATCTGCAGGCCGACGCGCTATCCACTGAGCCAGACCGGTCAGGGCTCCTTTTCTTTTTTAACTTATGATCTGCTTCTCCAAGCAGAACAGGAGCCCCAGGAGGACAGGGCCTGCCTGGTTCCTGGCTGTGTCTTCAGAGGCAGAGGCCCCCGAACCGCCTGTGGAGGAATCCCTGGGCCATCCTCCAGGTCGCCCAGCCCTGCTCCCTATCCCAGCCGTTCCCCACAGCACCCACAGCCATCCCTCACGGACACACCTGCCTGCGACACTTTCGCTCTGGCTCCCAGCAATCCTCCAGGCCCAAGGGGACCTGGCCCTGTCGCCCACCCCGCCTTGCTCCACTCCAGCCACACACACCTTTCATCGGTCCCTGCTCAAGGACTCGGCAGTTTCTGGTCCCTCTGCCTGGAATGCTCTTCCTCCAGCCCTTCCGACTCTGACTCTGTCCCATCATGTGGGCCTCCCCAAATGCAACCCCTCAGAGAGAAGTCTTCTGTGAACCATCCCCCAAAGCGCCCCACCCCCCAGTCCCACTCACATGTCCCCTGTTCCACTGTGGCCCTCAACTGTCTGAAATCCCAGATTCCTGCTTTTCTCTCGTTAGACTCTCTCCTACTTGACCAGCGGTTCTCAACCTGTGGGTCGCAATCCCTTTGGGGGTCGAACGACCCTTTCACAGGGGTCGCCTAAGACCATCGGAAAACACATATATAATTACATAGTGTTTTTGTGATTAATCACTATGCTTTAATGATGTTCAATTTGTAACAATGAAAATACATCCTGCATATCAGATATTTACATTACGATTCATAACAGTAGCAAAATTACAGTTATGAAGTAGCAACGAAAATAATTTTATGGTTGGGGGGTCACCACAACATGAGGAACTGTATTTAAAGGGTCGCGGCATTAGGAAGGTTGAGAACCACTGTACTAGGCCATCCATTCCATGAGGGCGGGGCCAGGCCCACCTATCTCCACGGCATCCCCCCTCTGAGAATAGTTCCTGGCACTTATCAGGCAGAGCTGCTGAATGAATGGATGAACCCGTTCCTCTCATTTGGGCAGGGGGAGGCCCAGGGCAGCCCCACCTCAAGCCAATGCCTACAGAAGAGTCTGACATGCTAAGGGTGCAAGGCTGTCCCCGGGAAAGCTGGGCTGGAGCACTTAGGAACAGAGGGAAGGCGGGAGCGCTCACCTGTGCCCATGTACACGGCGAGGGCTATGACCATGGCGGCCGTCACCACCCCGCCCCAGGTCTTCACCTCGGGCCGCCGCATGCTGTTGAAGATGGGCACGCTGCTCACGTGGCACTGTCAGGGTGAAGGTCACAGTTATCTTGGGGAAGTGACCTCACCCCCTGTTTCCAGAGGGAGGGACAAGGGGCGAGTCCTGGGGTCCCCTCTCCATCCTTCCTCCCAGGATCCCCCATCCTGCCCGTGATGTGGGCTCCATCCCAGGGTGGGGAGTGAGCTAAGAGGGCCGCAGGGACCTGGCAACTGGCACCTGAAATCCAAAGCAGATGGTGGGCATGGCATTGAACACGGCCATCCAGGAAGCTGGCCTGTGGATAAACACAAGAACGTGCTACCTGGGGACCCCACACAGCCACCAACTCCCCCTCATCCCCGTCATGCCCTTACTCTTCCTCCAGCCAACCATGGCCTCCACCAGGGAGCCTTCTACACACTCCACCCACAGGAGTCTGGGAACGGGGAGAGGGCACATCTCCATTTCACAGGTCAGTAAACTGAGGCTCTGCAAGGCCCTCCTGGGACTGAAACCCTACACTGGGCCTTTTACTTTTTTTTGGTTTGTTCCTTTCATAAAAAAGAAACTTTTTTTTTTTTTTTAAATGACCAAATAGATCCATCCTCATGTAGAAGATACAGAAATTACAGAGATGCACAAGTTGGAAAAATGTGGAGCTCCACCCTGGCAGGCTCCACAGCCCGAGGCCTCGTCTCACGTTGGCTCAGTGGCTGGGCGTTAGTGGCGAACTCTCTCCCGTCTCTGATTCTCACTTCCCTTCAGCGGAGAGAGATGAGGACCGCTTGTTCCTACGATGACCGATGCGCCAAGCCCCACTGAGCCTCAAGATGAGCACCTGTGTGGCCTTTCGGTGTCTGACTTGGCACCTCCCGGGGCCCAAGCAGCCGATCCTACCCCACGTGTCTCTTGGGGGTCCGCACCCACCTGGTCAGGATGTCCCCTGGGGTCATCTCCTTATCCGGCCAGATGTACTTGATGATAACGATGGCGGTGACGTACCAGGTGCCCACGACGCTGAGGAAGCTGCGGGGAGAATGGACGGCACTCCTTCCTCCCCAGCCCCAGCCGCCCTTTCTCTGCTCCCACCCCAGGGGCATCCGCCCTTCGTTCTAGTGACCACAAGTGTCTACTGAACAACTTGGGGGGGCTATTTCCAACAAAGACTCCAGAAATGCCTGAGAAAGAAGTTCTGGAGAAACTGGGCCACAGCCAGGAGGGACCGGACTGGCCTTTCTGACCATCAGGAAATGCACTGGCTCAGCTCCAGGGCTCGGAGGGCTGGGCTTCCATCAGAGCGGCCCACGCGTGGCGAGGGCTGCAAGGAGGGCCCTTGAGAACTAGGAGATACCGGAGGAAAGAGGGTCGAAGGTACAAATACTGGAATGTCGACATTACAGGGGACCCTGGAGACCGCTGAGTGCGACCCTGCCGATTACGGATCGCAGGAAACAGCTTTTCAGACCCTGAGTCAGGCAGCCAGTCTCCTCCCTTCATAACAAGCTGCAGGGAAGAGGCTGCCCAGATGGCAACTCCAACTGATCAAAAATCCCATTCTCGCCGGGAAAGCTAAGGTCCAGGCCCGGAGGCTGCCTTTGCCCTCTGGTTGCCACCTGTCCCTTTGACAAGGACACTGACTATCCCACTGATGCTCAGGGCCACCGTCTCCCTTTGCTGCTGACAGACAGGAAAGTCTTCTGCTGGAACCCGTGCAAGCCCTGGCCGTTCAACCTTGCCCGCTCTTGCCGCCCCAGAAGGTGAGGTGGCATGGAGGACAGGGTTCCCTGGCAGCCCTTGGGTCTCCAGGGTTCTGTCTGGCCCAGGTTGGGGCGGGGCCTCCGAACCTGGCATACTTCTGGAAGCCGATCTCCCTGGGGATGGAGAGGGGCAGGATGAAGAGGAAGGCGGTGAGGCTGATGGTAAACTTGCGGTCCGTGTACCAGGGGCTGCCACTGGCCCCCTCAGGCTCCTTTGCCAACACGGCTATAACTGCACAGGGAGGAAGAAGGGAACGTCAGGCCAGGCCACTGCAAGGCGCGGCCCTCCTGCTCGGCTGGGCCTCGGCGCTTCCATCTGTCTAATGGGCCCAGCAGCCGGGAGGAGGATTCCCAGGGGAAGGTGTTCCATGCCCTTTCCCTCCACCCCTAGGATTCCCAGGGCCCAGGTGGGGGGATGAGGTGGCTACAGAGGGAGCCTCACTCTTGTCCTGCTGGTCCCCAATGATGATGAGGAAGGCGATGCAGGTGCCGAAGGTGTAGATGGCAATGGACACCTCGCACAGCACGCCCGTCAGCTTGCCACACACAGCCCACACCACCTCCTGATAGGTCCGCTCGTTGCTGGCCTGGGAGCAGTAGGCGAGGATGACGAGGCCGCTGATGATGAAAACCAGCATGCCCTGTGGGCAGGGGCAGAGCAGGAGGGTGTGGAAAAGGCCTGGCAGCAAAGGACAGCCTGGTTTTGCTCAGTATTTACGGGGCCAGTGCTCAAAGCTGGTTTGGCATAGAGACCTCATCTCGCAGGGCAATTTAAAGAAATATATTTTATTGATTTTTTACAGAGAAGAAGGGAGATGGACAGAGAGTTAGAAACATCGATGAGAGAGAAACATCGATCAGCTGCCTCCTGCACATCCCCTACTGGGGATGTGCCCACAACCAAGGTACATGCCCTCGACCGGAATCGAACCTGGGACCCTCCACTCCGCAGGCCAACGCTCTATCCACCGAGCCAAACCGGTCAGGGCATTGCACGGCAATTTTAGTAGATTACTGGAGACTTGAGATTTTCTTTAGAAACAAAAGGAGCTTTATAGAAAATTTCAAACGCACACAAAAGTAGAAAGAATGGTATAATGGACCCCCATGTCCTTATCACTCAGCTTCAAAAATGATCAATTCATGCCCAATCCTGTTTCATCTATTCTCTCACCCACTCTGGATTATTATTTTTTTAAAAAACGTTCTCTCTCTTTTGTAAAAATATTTATTTATTTGTTTTAAAGAGAGAGAAAGGGAGGGACGGGGAACACTAGGCAGGCCCGGGCGGTGGGGACGGGGAAAGAAAAATAAAGAGAGAGAAAGCGAGAGGAATAGAGAGATAGAAACTTCGATAAGAAGCCCCCTACTGGGGTCAAGCCTGCAAGCTGGTCACATGCCCTGACCAGGAATCCATTCAGCGACCTCTTGGTTCATAGGTCAATGCTCAACCACTGAGCCACACGGGCCGGCACTGTATTATTTTGAAGAAAACACAAGTTTTCATATCACTTCATCAATACTATTTCATGTGGTTCTAAAAGATAAGGGCCACTTTTAAAAACATAACCACAAGGCTGTTAAGTATGCAATTGATGTCAAATTTCCCTGATTGCTCCGCAAGGCTTTTGAAGCCTCATCTGGGCTCAGAGGAAAGAATGCTGGGATAGATGGGTCACATCTGCCCTGAGAGAGGGTGGGGAGAATGGTAGCTCTGATCACCCCTCATCCAGAGCCTCCCCTGTGAGGCAGAGAGGCCAGACTCCCCAGCTGAACTTCATTCCTGCCCTCTCGCCCGCACACTCACCATCTGCAGGGTGATGCCCGCGGCCACGCCCCCGGCCGTGCTGAAGGCTGCTGGGAAGTTGAGCAGTCCTGCCCCCAGGCAGGCGTTGACTACAATGAAGATGGCCCCAAACGAGGACGTGGTGCCTCTGCTCAGACTTTCAGGGGAGGCCTCCCCCTCACTCTTCGGGTCCGAGTCCACACAGGGGCTCTGCAGCAGACGGGCCCGCTCCCCAGCATCCGTGCTGAGGCCCCACTCGCCAAGGTCACTGTTGATGCTGACCTGGGCCATGGCCCTGACAGCCCTCTTCCGCCGGGTCTGCAGATTCTGCCTCACCACCGCATCCCCTGTTCAGAGCTGTTCTCCCAGGAGGCCTGTGGGCGCTGGCTCTTCTCAGCCTAGACAGGAAAGTCAGGTACTACTGCTATGCCAAGGTGGGCACAGAAAGGCAAAACGACTTCCCCCAGATCAGATGGCTGGGACTGGAACCCAGGTGCACCTGTGTGCAGAATACTGCACTGGGGGCAACAGTGTGGGGTGGCAGAGACAGAAATTGGTCCGAGGCAAATCCTGCTTGCTGCAGGCTTACAGACCCAGGGGGTATATAAGACAAACATAAGAGAGAGGGGTAGTAACCTGCCGGCATTAGAAAGAGGCCATGTATGGGCAGGAGTGTCATGGACATATCTCATTCCATCCTTTCGACAGGGGACATGGGGCTTGGAGAGATCAAATCAGTGATCCAGGGTCACATGTTAGCAAGTTGCAGAGTAGGGTTTGGATACCCATCTGTCTGCCTTCCCAGCCTGTTTCCACACCGCAGGGTTCCAGGAGCAGCCCTCACTCAGAACCAGCACACCGCCCTCCAGCCCAGAATCTGGATTCTCCATAGCTTCCGAAGTCCTTCAAAAGTCAGGCCAACTCTCACTCATCTCCCACATGACTCACCTAACTACTGCCCACCACAGAGGCATCCCCTCTGATGCCCTCAACATGCCAGGGGTTTGAATGGCAAAGGAGGCCCCCTGGGTAGTCAGATGGTTCCCACTGCTCCTCCTGATCCTGGTCCAACAAAGTCGGGAATGGTACACTCACAAGAGGGAGAAAGGAAGGTGATGATGCTCTTAGACATCGGTCACCACCCATGCAACCAAGACACCAGCCCCAGAGGAAGAATCCCTCTGCTGGCTCCAACTCCAGAAAGATCAGCCAGGGGACACCCATCCAGCCACGCAGCCAAAAAACCAGAGCAGTGAGTAGCAGAGGGAGAGTCCTGGGCTCCCAGGCTCCCAGCAGAGCTCCAGACAGAGCCCCGCAAAGCTAGTGCTGCCAGAGCTGTGCGACCTCCCTCTCAGCCCTGCTCACATCTCAGAACAGGGGTGTAAGATCGCTCAGCCGTCCCTCCCCCCAGTTACTCAGCTCCATCTTCCCCGGCTTACCTGCTCTTCCCACCTGATAAGGGCTACGGTGGAGGGGGTGCTGCTCCTTACAGCTCCTTCTCCCCCAAACGCCTGGGATCTGACTCTCCTCACTTCTCTCTCTCTCTGGCCCCAATTTCTTCTTTTCTCTTTGCTACAAGGCCGCCGTCAGCAGAGTGATGAGTTTGAGCTGTTTTGTGCTGGTCAGCAAATTGAGGCTCAGACTCTAAGTCGTAGAAGGGAGCACCAACCAGGTCAGTCAGGTAAACAGGCGCACGGAGGGAAGACGCTGGGCTAAAGTCACAGCGGGCAGCCGGCAGAACCAGAACTAGGAGCCTGGCGCCCTCGGGGAGCTGGCATCACTGCAGGACGCCCCTCAGTTCCCAACCGGAGCGGGACCCCACTCCAGCCCGCGGCTGGATCCCCGAAATAGGAGGGGCGGGCTCACCGGGAGGTGGACCAGGGCGCACCCCGCGCGGAGGGGATGGCCCCAGGCATGCAGTGAGGCGAGTGGGCTGTTGTGGGCTAAACTGGGCGGAGGCACCGGGATTTGATCCGGGCCTAGGACTGGGTGGAGACTGGGCAGGAACCGGCCAACCGAGGGCGGCCGTGGGACCAAGGACGCCGGGCTTCCGATCTCCCTGCGGGGAGTGGGCAGGGCTCTGCTGCGGTCGGGGGTTTGGGTACCCCAGGACCTAAAGCTCCCACCCTCCAGCTTTTCTACTTTCAGCCACCTACCCACGGTACCTCATGTCCCAGCCGGCTGGGGAGACACGTGAACAGAGGTCACGTGACAGTCGGGCTACGGAGCGCGGGGCACTCTGGGAGTTGTAGTTTCCGCAGGTAGTCTCCACGGTATGTGTGCACTGTTCTGGTTTGCTTAACTGGTCACTTGTTGAAGGATGTCTGAGCTGTTTGCAGGTTTTAAAAGTAATAGTTTTTTTGGGAAAAAATGGATACATATGTTAATACCCTTTGTAATACTTTAAGCAATAAAAAAAATAAAAGTAATAGTTTTTTTTTATTTTTGAGCTTTATGCACTTTATCCTCAAATCGATCCTTTAAAAATGTCCAGTACACCTGGCAGGCGTGGCTCAATGGTTGTGCATTGACCTATGAATCAGGAGGTCATGGCTCAATTCTGGTTCGAGGCACTTGCAGGGGTTGTGGGCTGGATTCCCTGTGTGGGCGTGTGGGTGGCAGGCAATCAGTGTTTCTCTCTCATCATTGATGTTTCTCTCTCTCTCCCTCTCCATTCCTCTCTGAAATAAATTAAAAATATATTAGAAAATAAAAGAAATTGAAAAAAAGTCCAATACAGTGGTTTTTAGTATATTCATAGTTTTGCAACCATAACCATTATCTAATTTCAGCATTGTTATCACTGTCCCCACCAACACACCCTGTAACCATTAGTAGTCAAACACCCCCCAGTCCCATATCCTCTCCCCCAAGCCCCTGGCACCACTAACCTACTTAGTGTTTTGGATGAGTTGTTATCAAGTTTCATCCATGTTGGAGCATATTGGTACTGCATTCCGTTTTATTACTAAACTAGAGGCCTGGTGCACAACATTCGTGCACTGGAGGGGGGGGGCGTCCCTCAGTCCAGCCTGCACCTTCTTGCAGTCCAGGACCCCTCGGGGGATGTCTGCCTGATGGTTTGGGCCCAATGGCAGAACAACCAGATGCTATGATGCGCACTGACCACCAGGGGGCCTGCTCCCCCTAAGCCATCAGTCAGACATCTCCTGAGGGGTCCTTAGCACTGCTATGGAGGCGGGAGAGGCTCCCGCCACCACCATTGCGCTTGCCAGCTGTGAGCCAGACTTCTGTCTGAGCAGTGCTCTCCCTGTGGGAGCGCACTGACCACCAAGGGGCAGCTCATGTGTTAAGTGCCCCCTGGTGGTCAGTGTGCGTTCAGTCGATTTACATATTGCGGAGAGTGGGCCTAAGCTGTCAGTCGGACATCCCGGAATTGCCAGGTCAGACGGTGAGCCTATGTTTAACTTTTTGAGAATTGCTGGACTGTTTTCCAAAGCAGCTCCACTATTTTACATTCCTATCAACATTGTGTGAGGGGTCCAATTTCTTCACATTCTTGGTGACTCTTATTATATTCTGTTCTTTTCATTACAGTCATCCTAGTGGGTGTGAAGTGAATCCCATGATGGTTCTTATTTGCATTTTCCGGATGACTAGTGATTATAGCATCTTTTCACACGCTTATTGGCCATTAGTGTGTCTTTGGAGAAATGTCTATTCAGATACTTTTCCCAGTTATTAGTTGGGTTATTTTTCTTTTTATTCTTGAAGTGTGTTTTTATATATTCTGGATACAAATTCTCAAGATTTAAAAAATTTCTCTGGCTGGTGTGATGTACACCAAAAGCTGGTGGGTTCAATTCCCCGTCAGGGCACATACCCAGCTTGCGGGTTCCATCCCTGGTTGGGGCACGTGCAGGGAGCAACCAATTGATGTTTTCTCTCATGTTGATATTTCTTTTTCTCTCCCTTCCTTCCTTCCTCTGAAATCAATTAAAAAATTGTAAGATTATAAACATTGATTTTAGAGAGGGACTTGTTCCACTGATTTATATGTTGTTTGACTCTTGTACATATGTGCCCTGACTGGGGATTGAACCCACAAACTTGGCATATCTGGACAACTCTAACTAAATGAGCTACCCAGCCAGGGCTTCTCAAGAGTTTTTTAAGATTATCATTTTAAAAAAAGAAAACAATTATCTTCTATTTATTAGCTACCAACCAACAATTTCTATGAAAAAAAGTTCCACAGTCCAAAAGGAAAAAGGTTAAAAAAGTTCTCAGGCCGGCTGAGTGAGCTGGACTTTGACCATGTAGATGGAAGCCGGAGGCAGTTCAGTCCGACAGTACCCAATGGCTGGTCAAAGGATCGCGTGTTTCTGAACCTCCTTGAAAATTTTCTTTTTATTATTTGAAGAACAAAATGACTCCCAAACCTCAGCTCAGACATATTGTGGGTCAGAATGTCCAGAGATAAGGCTAGGGAAACAATATATTTTTTAAAAATCCAGATTTGGAAACTATTCTACTTTTAACTATAATAAACAGAGGCATGCCTGCCCAGTGTGGCTCAGCGGTTGAGTGTCAACCTATGAACCAGGAGGTCACGGTTCAATTCCTGATCAGGGCATATGCCAAGGTTGTGGGCTCAGTCCCCAGTGGGGGGCATGCGGGAGGCAGCTGATCAATGATTCTCATCATTGATGTTTCCGTCTCTCCCTCTCCCTTCTTCTCTGAAATCAGTAAACATATATTTTAAAAAGACAAACAAACAAAAAAAACAGAGGCTATTCTGAGCAGGCAAACTACCTCCTCCATTGAGGGAACATGAACATATTCGTCCCCGACTAGAAAACTAGGATAGGGTTGAAGGCAAACAGTCTGAACTGCTGAGAAAAACACACCCCACGTGACTGTTTGGTGAGGAAAGGGACTTAGTCCAGGGTGAGCTGGCAATACCTGTGGTTAAAAATAACGAGGTCAGCGGGGGTCAGGTTCCCTTTCCTGCTGGCTTGGTGGCCAACTTTCAACCATGTGGTTCCATCAGGGAGACTTAAAGCTGCTTCTGCTAACCTGGGCAGTCAGTTCCTGAACGGAGCAGCCGAATAACATGCTGTTTTCCTTTTAAGATACCTCCCCAAAGACATCAGGGAAAGCCGGTTCTAGATAAGCTCACTTATCCATTTACCACCTTGGTGCATCCGTTTCTAACAGGGACAGAGAAGAGCTGGGGTCAGGAGCAAGCCTGCTGTATACCCTGTGCCCCTCAGGGAGTGAGCAACCAGAGGGAAATAGCAAGCTAAGCCCGCTGCCCCCTCCTCGGGGCCTGACCTCTGCTCCATGGCCGGCCTGGCCCGCCTTGAATGGCTCCTAGCACTAAGCAGAAGGGGACAGCGTAACCTTGAGGCCTAGCAGGCGCCATTGCTCCGTGTCTGCTGACATAGATGACTTTATGGTAGAGGTTGCAAACTGGTGACCTATTGTTTGCATCTTGCCTGTAAATCATTAAAAAAATTGAATCAGGCCAGCGTAGTTCAGTGGTTGTCGACCTATGAATTAGGAGGTCACGGTTCAATTCCTGGTCGGGGCGCATGCCCGGGTTGCAGGCTCCATTTCCAGTATGGGGGAGTGCAGGAGGCAGCCAATCTATCTCATCATTGATGTTTCTCTCTTTTTCTCCCTCCCCTTTCCTCTCTGAAATCATTAAAAATATATTTTTAAAAAGTTGAATCAGTTGCCAACTTTTAAGCATCAATAGATGTTCCAGAAAAATAGGATTGTGGTCCAGCTGGTATGGCTCAATGGTTGAGTGTCGACCTATGAACCAGGAGGTCATGGTTCAATTCCCGGTTGGGGTCCATGTTTCAGGTTCAATTCCAGGCACCAAAAGGTCACCGGTTCAGTTCCTAGTCACGGCATATACCCAGGTTGGGGTTTCGGTGTCCATATGGGAGACAGCTGATTGATATTTCTTTCACATGGATGTTTCCTTCTCCCTTCCTTTCTCTCTGAATTCAATAAAAACATATATAAAATAAAAACAGGATTTGTGTTATTTGAAAAATTGAAGGTGTGCCATCCTGGACTTTCATTCTCACAGCACCTCTCACTTCCCTATTTCTCATTACTGGGGATGAGGGTCTGTCCCCAGTGGTCATCTTACATCCAGGTGGCATCACTCTTTTAACTTCACCTTCACTCCCAGAGCCATCTGAAGCTGCCACCTCCCCTCCATCTCCTCCGCTCCCTGCTGACACCCACAGATCCTTTGAGGTACTCCACTTGCCCCCCACGGGCCAGTGGGTCATATCTACATTTCCAACATCTGTGGACTACACAAGCTGAGTGACAGCAAGACAAGGATGTGGCTTTAGTTTACATTCAGAACAGCTCACACCCCCATTGGCCCATGGTCAGCTGGACATGACTTCAGAGTTCCCGGATATACACCCACTCCTGCCCTTCCCTCCCATTAAAGAGAAAATATAACATAGTCGACAGTGGTTGGGTCGCAGTAACTTTATTGTAACAGAGAAACCAGGCTGCAGTAAGTCTACACGATTAGAGTAGGTGGTGGTGATCTTTCTAAAGGGTGAATGAAGCCCGAGCCCAGCTGGACGCGCACGAAGGATAAAACCAAAACCTGAATATCCTCCTGCCTGGCTCAGTCCCCCATCACCCGACCTGGGGCGGGAGACGAGTGGCTGCACAACACTGCACTAGGGTACGAGGTCCAACTGGGCAGAGGCGACATCCGGCGGGAGACAAGCAATCACTGAAGAGGACGCTGCAATAATCTGTTAACCATTCTCCACTATTCTTCATTGAGAAAGGTGAGGGTGTGGGGTGAGCAGTAAATTATGTTCTTCATTCTTCAGATGAGTAAGTGCTACCGGGTGGGGTTGATGGTCAATCAAGCAGAAAAGGGTGAAAATCTAGGCTGGTTATAGATCTTTGTGCCTATGGAGAAGAGCAGCGCTGACAGAAGAGAAGGGAACATTGAAATGCCCACAAATAAGTACCAGAAGCAGAGCCTTCTTGCTCTTTTTCTTAAGTAAGACCGGAAACAGCATCTTTTTGTGTTCCTGGTCGCAGTGGCAGCCAACGCGCTGGCTTTCACGAAGCTCGGTTTCTACAATGTGGTCTGTTGGTGAGGCTGCTCAATCCGGAAGCACAACTGTGAGGCTGACCATGATGGCTGGAGCCAG